CGGCAAGGATAAATACGCTTCTGCTAAAGCGCTTGTTTTAATTACACGTGTCCCATGTACGTGTCTCCTTTGAGACATAGTCTGTCTCCTGCGTAGATTTAGTAGCACTTGCCTTTGACATCTGGTGGGGAGGGGACAGACAGCTAGACTGGGCAGGTGAGCTGAGTGGGGATACAGGTCATTGACAACACTAATAACATGGAGACAGTCCGGGAGTTAGAGTGGCCTTTGGAATTCTCCTAAGATGAGCCAGGAGGGCTCAATAGAAAAAAAGAAAATCCAGGGCCCAGTTAAAGAGGACAGGAGGTCAAAACAATAATACTTTTAACATTAAAATAGTAAAAAAAAAAGTTTAAAAAGAGCACAGAGGGCTTTAAAGTGCTTTTTATTTTTTTCCCTCTCTTTTAATGTGGAAAAATCCGTCAGCCTTTTGGCCCATGACCTTGACATTGTCGAGGGAGATCTGTTTGCTTAACTCTAGGGAGTTGTGCTTCTAACCGCAGGCGGTGCCTCCCGGTACTTCGGATTCACCACCGGGCTTCTCGGGAGAAAGAAGGACCATCTGGCTGGATCGGTGTCTCTGAAAACCCAGGGGGTCAGCTCTGAGTCGGTTCCTACTGGACGGCACTGGGTTTTCTGTGTCAGTCTCGGCGAGGTGTTCAGTACCTGCTTGCATTTGGGGGAACTTCTCCTCTGGTGACCTTGGACCTTGATTCTGAGAGCCTGGCTCAAATGCATGTACTCCCAACTTGCACCTCTCCATAAGTGGACCCCCAGGGACAGTTGAAAACAGCTTTGTGGGACACTCAGTAGGGTTTGGAGTTTGGATTTTTTTTTTAATCATCCTGTTAAACGGGATGAATTTGTATCAGACGCTCCTCCAGATTCCTCCCTGTGAGTCTCAGTTCCCTGCATCCTCTGCCCTGCCTTCCGAAGGTCTCCTTCCTGATCTTGCTTGACTGCTTGTTCCGAGAGGGAATGCCTCTCTGGAATTTTTCTTGTCACAGATCTGATTTGCTGGAAGTTTAAACCTGAAAGCTTCTTTTAATTGCCTGGGCTGCTAAGCTGGCTGGGTCTTAAGGGATCTGCAGGCTTTTCAAGGCTCTGATTTTGATTGATTCCCCGAAGGGAGGGTTCTTCCAAGGTCAGCAGGGTACAGGGTTAGGGTGGGGAGGGCAGGCTGGTGGGAAGCGGAGGGGATAGAAGTGAAGTTTGGACTGAGGTAAAAACAGCAGGGACAACTTGAAGCACAAGGCCCTGGGACTCTGGGCACGCCCATGGAGTGAAACCTCAATAGTCCCATTTCACAGATAAGGCAGCTGAGGCTGAGAAATGTGATGAGGCTGCCTGCCCTTCACTGTTTGGCCAAGGAATAGCTAAGCTGGGGTTTGCACCTAGCTCTAACTCCAAACCCTCCCAGGAGACTGGCTGTACCCCACTTTCCAGGGAACAATGCAGGAAAGTTAGATCAGGAACATTCTGGAAAAACCAAACCTGGAGAGTGACTCACCTAGCCACAGGCTGTGACTGCCACATCGGGCCCTTGTCCTGGCTGGTAGGTGGCCTTTAATGCTGGCCATCGGCGCTTGGAAGCAGAGAGCTTGGGTTGGGATTCTTTTTTTTTTTTTCAACTTTTATTTTATTTTTGTTTTATTATTTTTGTGTGAGTGTACCGTCAAATCAGATCTGACTGGTACAGGAGGAGATTGTCCCTCCTTTTCTAGTACAGACCACAGTCTTCCAATGACCCGACCTTTTCTCCTGCAGAGCCACGGGGCAGGTGTGAACTGCCAAGGGCTGGCCACGTGCCATACTATTGCAACAACATGTACAGATACTGACAGCTGTTTGCACAGTTAGTAAAGGGACTCAGGTACCAGGCAGGAAAGCAGGGCTCACTGCACAGCCCCTGCCTGTCTCTCAGACCAGAGCCAAGTCACGTGGCTAGCCATTCTCTCGTGCACAGGGAGGTGGGAATTGTAGTTGTTAAAACTGAGTATTTATCATCTCCAATAAAAGTAGGAAAAGGACAGAAGGAGGAGAGTAGATACGGAGAGGCCCAGAGCATCGCCCGCCACATGCCTCTTCAATGTCTGCTGAAGAGAAGACCAGGCAGAGATGACCTTGCCAAGGGACCTGGTGGGCGTGTTGTTTAGGGCACCAGGCCCGGCTTCTCCCAGATGGGCAGCCATTTGTTCACCAGCGCCTCCTGTGATGATTTTGCCTGTATAGTCTGGTGTCCTCGCCCTGCCGCCCTGCCGGCTCCTGGGCCCTCCCTGCTCACAGTCTTACCCAGCGGCACGTGCCCCCGACAGACAGTGCAGCTAGAGACAAGGTCCTCCCACGTATTTCCTTTCCCAAGGAGAGGGGACCGTTTGGCACAGCTCCTGGTGCCCACTTGAAACGAATGCTGGTTGCACTCCCAGCAGGCTCCCTGCAGCCTTGCAAGGGCAAGGTCTCTGCAGCACCGGCATGGAGCAGGAAGGCCACGTGACAGGCCCAGGGCAGGAGGGAGAGGGAGTGACAGGCTGGGCTCCAGAAGGAACGGGACTCCAGCGGGCCAGGAAGCTGTAAAGAAGAGGCTTTGCAGGACAGAATTAAGGGAACAGAGAAGGGACAGTGAGACGCCAGGACACTAGAGAGGTCAGCCATCACCACTTTCATGAGAGACACGGGGGAGGAAGGAACTAGGGGGCTGAGGCCCAGGACAAGCCAGGGGCCATCTGGACGGAAGCTGTGGTTGTGCTGTCCTAGCAGAAAATACCCAAAGTGGGCGGTTTGGAAGAAGAAATAGTTCCCTCTTCCCAGTTCCAAACTATAATACTCAGTTGCCATTGAGTCCTGACTTAGGGTGATTCTGTGTGTCAGAGCAGACTGGGGTACCTGCTCAGTTCTGTCTGATTGTTGGCTTGCGGGAAAGTTCACAGAGCTTGTTGTAGGGCCCTGACTGCAGACCCCACATTATGACCACACTCCTGCTTCTTCGCCTTTCTGCGACGTCTCCTGAGGGACAGCTCTGGTGCAGAAGGTTTTCAAAGGATCGTTCTGTCAGAGTTGAGAGCCATGCTTTTCTTTCCAAGTGCCTTTGGGTAGACTCTAGTTTTCAAGATAACGTATTCACGTATCTAACCAACAGTATAAAACGTACAGGTTTCAGGCATGGTGTGATCTATTGGTCTATCCATCTCTGGCTCCATTGCTCTAGACGGATTTCCACGCACACACTAGCTGACTTCCATTCTTACTCGGTCCTTGGTGAGCAGGTGTGCTGACTCTGATTGGCTAAGATTTAGAAAGATCCAGCTGCAAAGTATGTCACTTTGGCTGAAAGGGGGAGAGATGGTTACAGAACAAATTGGGGTCCGCTAGGTAGGACCGAAAACGCAGAGTGAGGGTGGCATGGGATGGTGCGAGCGTTACATCTCTTGTTTGTAGAATTGCTGTGAGTCATAGAGCTCTGTTAGCCTACTAGATAGAAAGGTGGGTGATTGTAATCTGCGGCCCTCAGGCCTGGTTTTAATTGTTTTTTTGTCAGACAATCTTCTAAGCGGCATAGCACTGGTCTGTGCATTGCTGTACAGCGCTAACTCGTGGTTGCTGTGATGCTAAACAGTGACACTGCTGTGTCAAATACAATAATGATTACCCACGGTGGACAGTGTTTGGTGGAGCTCCGCGAATGAAACAAGCTTGGAAGCAGGAGTGGCATCCACTTCTGAAAGAGCTTTGCCTCCGGAAACTCTGTGAACATGAGAAACGATGGAAGTTATACAAGTGTCCAGGTCTGACACGACAGCACGTAACAACAGGCAGGATCCATGGTGGTGCAAACACACCCATTGTGGGGCGGTTGTACTCGGTCACGTGGGATCACCGCTTGGGCAGTGGAGTCGGAACTGACTTGAGGGCCACAGATAGCATCAACAGCAACCAGGAAAGGGGAGCAAGTGCTGGGAGAAAAAGAAAACGAGGACCATCATTTCATCCGAGTATGTTTGTGATGTTTGAAGCTGAAGAGTCACTTGGACCAACCAGCGTCCGGGGTCTCCTTCCAGTGCCCAGCTCCTGTGCCTCGTGGCTCTGAGTTCCGCCCGTGTTCTGTAGAGTCCCCCGTCACCAGCATTTCTCACCGGTAGCTCAGCACTGTGGCAGGGCTGACACCTCACCCGCTCGGAGCCCCACTGATGGAGCTGATGGTCCCTTACAGCTGAACCGATTGTGGCATGGGCTGACAAAAAAAGCCTTGTACTTCTCTGCTTGGGGGCTGCCGAGGGCTGCATCCAGAAAGGCAGAGAGCCTAAATCCTTCTGAGGAACGTCTATTTTTGCCTGAATTTAATTGTACTTAATCATTTTGCCGTCATTGACACTTGAAATGTGAGTCACCAGGCTATGTATGGAGCTGAGTGCGTCCCTTTAAATATCTGCAGGGTGGAGCCACGCAGCTCCCAGCTGGGCTGCTGTGTTTGGAGCTGTGAGTGGAGAAGCAGGGGCTGGAGGAACCGCCAGCCCTGGGTTCTATTCCCGCCGTCCCCATTTCTAGTTGCGTGATCTTGCAAAAGTCACTCTATTCCTCAGAACTTCATTTTCTTCATCTGTAAAATGGGCTAGTAACATCCACTGCTTTCCAGTCGTTTCCATCTCCCAGCGACCCTGTAAGACAGCGTCGATCTGTCCTCGAGGTGTCCAAGGCCGTGACTCTTGGAGAAGCAGACTGCCACGTCTTCCACCAGCGAGCGGCTGCGAGGTTAGAACCGATGACCCTCTGGTTAGCAGTCGGGTTCTGCCACTGCACCATCACGCTGCTGCTTGTTACTGCTGTTGTTAAGTGCTGTCGAGCCGACTGTGAGTCCCAGTGACCCTGTGAAGCGTGTCCCTGGACGCTGCCCTGTCCTGGGCATTGGCTTTATCTCTGACACTCGGACCCACAGTTATTCCAGCTCTGCCAGCCCATCTTGTTGAGTGTTCTCCCCTCCGTCACGGACCCTCCCCGCTTTCCAGGCAGATGTCAGAGGCAGTTTCCAGATCCTCACCTCCAGGGAGCACCTGGCTGCACCTTCTCCACAGCACAGCTCTGTACAACAGGCTGAGACGCGCCGGCCCCGCACCAGCCGCACTGCTCGAGCCCGTGTGCACAGCCACAGTGGCCATCCGCCTCCTTGAGGGTCATCCTGTTTTTTGCTGACCCTCCTTGGGGTGGTGGTAATAGCCCCCCTTTGTGAGACTCATTTGGAAGGACCTCCTGATAGGATGCTGCCCATATCTTTCTCTTTCCTGCCTGCCATGAATATTCCTGTGTTTTCCTTGCAGAAATACTAATGTATTTGATTCTGACGAGTGGCCCAGCTCACTCTTGGACATGTCGCATAAGGCCTGGCTCTCCCTCCAGCCTCCTTCATGGCGGCAAGAAGGCTGCCAGCCTCCACAGGGACGTGCTTCCCTGGTCAAAGCCAGGGTGCTGGGTGTCACCTCCCCTGACACGGAGAAGGACCTACAACACAGCTCCTCCACAGAGCCGAGCCTCAGGGGAGTGGGGGGCGGCCCTCAGCACCCTGACCCTCAATTTAATCAGGCATTCAGTAGGAAAAGTGTGATTTCCCATGGGTGTCCTACTCTAGAAAACTGTCCCTCCAGGCCTGAGCTGCCAGTTTCCCCCATTGTAGCCCCAGACCGCTTAGGGGTCCTTTGTATGAAAAACACCTCCTCTTTAAGCCACCAAAGTCAAGTCCCAGAATGATGGGACTGCCTCCTGCTGCCCAAGTGACACCTCTCTCCACCCTTTCCCCCTTCTCTCTCTTTCCCCCCTCTTTTTTTTTCTTTCCCCCCTCTTTCAGCCCCCCTCTCCTTTCTTCTCTCTGCATTCAGCTCGGCTGTCGGGGGAAGGCTGGGTGCCAGCTTGGCTGTGGGGGGAAGGCTGGGTGCACGTGAGCTGAGACGTAAGAACGGGGTGCCTGTGCGGGGTGAGCCTGGGAATGGGTGAGGGAGGCAGTGAGGGGAGATGTTGAGTTAAAGGGTGAGAAACGAGGTACTCAGGGTCCCCAAAGACATACATGCGTCTGCAGTCTCCCCCTTCCAGACGCCTTCGTCACCTCGGAACTCCAGCAGAGAATGCCTCGTCTGTGCGCGTCACAGAGGTGCATTCGGGGTTCGAGAACACGGGGTTCAGGGGCTCTCGCAGGTGAGCAGCCCCAGGAGCTCAGCCGCCTGGCGCGCCTGCGGGCCGAGCCTGCTGAGTGAGCCCCGCGGGTTGCCCCACAGCGCCCCCTGCCGGCAGGCCCCGGCCCTGCGCCCTTCGAGTGTAAGAAATCCGACCAACTTCACATTTCGCCCCGAGCAATCTCAGTTAGTTTTTTTTTCTTAATTACATTGCAATCGCTGGGCCGAAGTCCTGGTTTTGTCAGTAGGCTCATATGCATGTGAAAGTTGGCCGATGGGTGAGAATACTGAAGAAGAACTGAGGCCTCTGGACTGTGGAGTTTGCAAGGAACGTTGAACAGATAGACCACGGTCTGCAGAATACCTTCCGGAGACGGTGCGTGGGAAGAAGGACATCACGCTGGGTCAAGTAGAGGGTCAGAGGAAAAGAAGACGATGCTGGACGGGAGCAACGAGAGGGAGGGCCTGTTGCTTCTGTGCGTCAGGATCCCTACACCTTCTTGACGAATGGTGTGGGGGTGCTGGGGTGTGTTTCTGCACTGCTCCTTTGCCCTAAGCAATCTTCCCAATTTACCACTGAGTTGCACCATCTGGGCACCCCAACTGCAAGATCCCTGGTGGCCTAGTGAATGTGGCCATTGGCTGCTAATGGAAAGGTTGGCAGTTTGGATCCAGCAGCCGGTCAGAGGACCGAGGTGGGCCGTCTGTTCCAGTTAGGGTTCTCAGCCGTGGGGCCCTGGTGGAGGGACACCAAGACCTGGAGGTGGCCCTGCGCTGGCTGATGGGACTTTTGACTTCTCACCTTCAACCTCCCAGCTGACTCTGGCACTTTATAACTCTTGCCGCTGCCACCACCCGAGGGCCTCCTGCAGGACCCTTCTCTGGTCAGGCTTTTCTGGGAAAATCCAGCATCACAGGAAGTCTCCCTGTTTCCAGCGAATTAGATGTTAGACTGTAAAAATGATCTCCAAGGGAGGACAAGTCGCTCACTTACCCCGTGTGCCGTGTGCCCTTGCTGTTCCGTTATGAACAGGGGCTCGAGAAAGAGGGAGGCGTTTGGCTGACATCTCTGACCTGAGCTCTGGGCTTGTCGACTCGAGAAGTCATGTGATTGCAAGTGATAGAAACCTTATGTTAGGTTGCTTTAAGAGAATATAATGATTCATGTAACTGGACACAAGGCAAATGGACCTTCAGGCTTGGCTTGATCTAGGATTCGGCTGGTGTCTTCAAGGTTTTTCCATATTTATCTGCTCTGCTTTATTCTCAGGCTCCATGAGGAGGCGAGATGGCTACCAGCCACTGTTGCCTCATCCACATAAATTTAGAAGTTGCAAACCCCCAATCTCTCGTCAATGTTGAGGGTTCAGTTCCACTAGTCATTAGGCCAGAGCTGGTAGAATCTGAGAATCAGTGGGTTGGCATTATGCAGATTAGCTAAGGGATCAGGAATTCTGATTGGCCCATCCAGAGTCACAAACGCCAATACAAAGCTTCAGTGATGAGGGGGCGTGGCTTCCCTAAGGAAATGCCGCGGAGCGAGAGTACTAGGGTCCCTCAAACGTCTGAAGTGCCCAGTACAGGAAAGTTTGACCACGTGGACTAAGTCATGTATCAACCACTGTGGCTCGGTGGTTAAGGCCCCGGCTGCTGGCTGGAAGGTTGGTAGTTTGAGATAGATGTGGCAGTCTGTTTCCAGAAAGCTTTGTGGTCAGGTGCTGTCCGCTGGACTGTGACTCACGGTGACCCTGGAAAGGTGGAGAGGACCCTTGTCCTACCCTGCCCATCATCATGGCCAAATCCATTGTTAGAGTCCTGTGTTAATCCAGCCCCCTGAGGGTCTTCCTCTCTTTCACTGACTTCTACCTTTCCCATTGTCCTTTCCAAGGCCCCTTCTGACCACACGCCCACAGTGTTTGACATGAAGTTTCACCGGCCTCTCCTCCAAGGACCACCCACCCTAGTGGTGTTTCCTCCAAGACAGATTCGTTTGTTCTTCTGGAAGTTCATACTCTGCCAACAGCACAAGTCAAAGGGATCTGTTCTCCGGTCTTCTTTTTCATTGTCCAACTTTCAGATGCATATTGTTGTCATTGTTATGTGCCGTCCAGTTGCACCTGACTCATAGTTGGGAACTCCAGCGAGTTTCCAGAGGCTACAAATCGCTCAGAAGATTGCTGTCTGTTTGTGGTGGATCCCAGTGCCTGCCTTTGGGATAGCTGTGCAACTTCTTTCCACTAGGCAAGGAAGCAATTGAAAATACCATGGCTAGGAAGGCTCTGGTGGCCTGGTGGCAAGGAGCTGCAACTACAATCCCAGAGGCGCATGGTTCGAATCCACCAGATGCTCTGCCGGGGAAGGAGGGACAATCTCCTCCTGTACCAGTCAGATCTGATTTGACGGTACACACAAAAATAATAATAATAAAAAAAATACCATGGCTTGGGTCAGGCACACCTTAGTCTTGAAACTGATGTCATTACTCCTTATAGCACATTTAAAAGGCCCCACGTCAATTCAGTTCTAATTCACAACAGCCCTACACGACAGAGTTTCCCACAGGCGGCATCATGATAAGACACTCTCTTTTTTTAACATACAGTTTTATCATGACGTTACCCACTGTAGGGTCGCTGTGCGTCAGAATAGATGTGAAAACAACACGCACAGCTACTATTTCCAAAACACTGCCAGCGTTAGGCACAGTGCTGGTGCTGTGCGCGCTCAGCGCCCTGGGAAGGGGCTCCTGGTTCTCCCCCCGGTGAGGGAGCAGCTGTTGAGAACTGAAGCCCACGGCTAGTTAAACGAGGAGAGGTTTCCACTCAGATCCCGTGGCCTCCAGCACGAAGGGCCTGTCAGTGGCAAAGCTTGACATTTCTGCGTTAAGAATCCAGCCCTATTCCAAGAGAAAACTGAAAACAAAAGGGAAAGGATCCAGGCTTGGAGTCTGGGAGTTGGGGTGCAGTGGGTCTCTTCTGACTGTTCACTGGCAGGATGGCTCCAGGGGTGCTATTATAGAAATGCCCCTGGGGACCACTGACTCTCAGTGGGGGAGCCACCTGGCAGGAACCGAACAAATTTCACTTGAACCCCAGAAGGGTCCATGCCACCCTGAAGTCATCTTATCCCACCTCCTTGGGGACTCAAGGAGCAGAGGATAACTGGCATTCCAGAACCATCTGCCCAGCTCCTAATAATAAATCAGGAGAGGCATGGCTTCCGGCAGACATGGCTTTTTCCCCCAGGCAGGCAGCCATCTGCTAGGTCCCCCTGGCATGCCGGGCTGAGGGAGGAGGCGGGCCTGTGGAGAGTGGGCAGGGAGGCGGTCACACAGGCTCACCCTTTGGCCCGTATGTGGACAGGGCATTTGCAGAGAGAAAGAAGCACTTCCCGGCTTTGAGCAGAGGAGAGCGCGACTTCCTCAAGATGCCGACAGTAAGCAGAGCTTGTTACACAGGTCACCTCATTTCCTCCTCGCCGCGTGTCTCTGCAGGCCCATTTTATAGATGAGGGGCTCGAGACTCAGGGACTTACCCAAAGTCACAAAGCTAACAGGGGCAGAGTCAGGACTGGAACCGGAGATTCCAGAGAGGCCTCCCTCACCCACCACAGCAGGGCTGCGTCTGCACTGCAGTACGGGTCCAGTTTCCATCTGCTGGGCTAACCCTGTGTAGGTTTTTCCACTTGACAAAGTAGCAGTTTTGGGGGGGCTGGTGGCACAGTGGATTTAGCATTGAGTTGCAAACCAAAAAGTCAGTGGTCTGACTTCAGCTGTCCCTTGACTGAAGAGAGGTCAGGCGGCTTGGCTTTGTCTGTTTCTACAGCTTTGGACACGTGGTGGGGCCCTTGTACACTGCCCGACGGGGTTGCCCTCCGTGGGGATGGACTTGGGGGGATAAGCAGTGGGCATCACTCAGGGTGGCTTTCCACTTCCTCACACATGCCCCGGCACTGTTTGCTCACTGCTCTCTGTCTCCCTCAACCAAAGACACGCAGGAGAAAGGACTCGGAAGAAGTCCAGCCCCTTTCAGAGAAGGCCAGAGAGAAGCTGGTCGACGTGGAGCTCCGGAGGCTACGGCAGCAGTTCCGGAAAATGGTGGAGAGCAGGAAGGCCTTCAGCTTCCGGTCGCAGCAGAGGATGAAGCAGCAGCAGTAAGTGACCGGGCTGGTTCTGTCCCGGGAGGACCGGGGCGCCTGCCTGTGGCTTTGTGCTGTCTGCTCTCTTCCATGGCCTCTGGCGTGGGATTCCTGTCCTGCTCTTTACTTTGGTAAAATACATCCCCAGTATTTGCCATGTTAGGGAGCTCTGGTGGCTTAGGGTCAGGAGGTGAGCTGCCGGCCTTGAGGCTGGCTTGAGATTCAAACGCACCAGCTGCTCCGTGGTCGACAGCTGGGTGGTCTCCTCCTCGAACTTTACAGCCTCTGGAAGCTCGCTGGGCGGCCAGCTCTTGAGTCCGTTCTCACTCGAAGGTGCACAACAGCACTTGCCATTTAAGTGTCTGTGAAGCACACAGTTCAGTGCGTTGAATGTCGTGCAGCCTTTACCACTCATCCAGCCCCCTTGCCCAGTAACTCTGCTCGCTGCCCGCACACGCTCGCCTGTTCCGGAACTTCCCCCAGTGCGATCACACAGCATGTGCCCTCCAGTCTGGTTTTTTAGCTTCATGCTTTCTTTTTTTTTCTTTCTATATTTTATTAATTTTCGTAAACATTTACAGAGATTTTGGGTTTCCATTCATTCATTGTTGCACTATTCTCTCTACCCTCCTCCCAGTT